GGCCCCACACACCAGTGTCTCTGACAGATCCCTTTCACATGTAGGTCTTTGCCAGCAGGCTGTATCCTTAACCATTTTGCAGATGAGAGAAATGAAGCTCTGGAACTCAGGTCCCACAACTAGGTGGCCCAGTCCAGAATCAAGTCAGGTTTTCTGATTTCCCTCTCCTGGCTGCTCACCCTCACCTCCCAGGGCTACAAAAGCACCTGACTGTAAGGCCAAGAACCTGGTCTCTTGGGTCCCTTCATCTTCCTCAAGGGCACTCAGCACTTCTTTCGGAGCTGCTGGAATCACATTCCCAAAGAGCAAGGTCTTCATCACAGAGGCCCCAGCAAGCAGCAGCTTTTCCCAGCCCCTCTCCTGAGCAACCACCACTCCAGGCAGAAAGTAATTTTTTCCTAGTGCCTTCCCAGAAGCAAAGTGGATAATTAATTGCACTGAATAACACATTAAATATACTAATAATTGGGTAGTCACAGCAAAATGATTACTTTGAAGAAATATTACTGATTCCCTGTTGTACTTAACATTTCTCCTTATTTATCATTACCATTTTAATCAATAATAGTCACAATACTAATAAATCCATCTTAATTTTAATTGTGTTCAATTGGATGTACCAGTACTTGAGTATTCTGAGCATACTTCATTATTTATATTAATTTAAGATCACTTAAAGGCAAATTACAGAGTTTGTACTTTGAAGTGGGTAGGTATTTATGACAAAGTTTCTCCAGATTCAGCATTTTCAAGCACTGAGGATGGCGAGGTGTCAGACACCAGCCCTTTTCTGTTAACGTGAGGGTCAAAGATGGAGAAGATGAAGGAAGCCTCTCAAAGCGCCTACTTGAATTAGCATATCCTGGCCCTTTAAAAGGAAAAAAAAGGCTGGGGTCTCTGAAAGTATGGTTAATGGCTCAGCAGCTTTGCCGTTACTCGTGCTGTCTCATGCTTCCCTGCTGGCTGAGTGGTGAAGATCCACCTGCCAATGTCGGAGACGTGGGTTCAGTCCCTGGGTCAGGAAGATCTCCTGAGGAAGGAAACGGCAACCCACTCCGGTAGCCTTGCCTGGAAATGCGCATGGATAGAGGAGCCTGGTGGGCCACAGTCCACGGGGTCGAAAAGAGTCAGACCCGACTTAGTGACTAAACAGCAACAACGCGCTGGCTCGTCCTGAACTCAGCCAATCACATGCCGTCTCGTCATGCACTCAGACAGTCACACGCTGTCTCATCATGCACTCAGTCACGTGCCATCTTGTCATGTACTCAATCACATGCTGTCTCGTCATGAACTCAGCCAATCACATGCTGTCTTGTCATGAACTCAGCCAATCATGTGCTGTCTCATCATGAACTCAGGCAATCACATGCCAGCTCCTCATGAACTCAGCCAATCACATGCTGCCTCGTCATGAACTCAGCCAATCACATGCTGTCTCGTCATGAACTCAGCCAATCACGTGCTGTCTCGTCATGAACTCGGCATCGTCCACCAACATCAGGGCCAAGTCCACTCTAGGCAGCAGAAGGCAGGGAGGCTGACAGAGGCTCTGATAAAGGGTGGCAGCAGCCAACAGGCAGATGAGCGGATAACGTGCAGTGGAAGGGCTCGGGTGCTCCTAGAGCACAGGCATCTTTCTAGGTCGTGAAATGGCCGGGGATGGGGCAGCAGATCCCATTTTTGGCGAAGAGCCAGCTCCAAGGTTTCCAGAAGCATGAGGGTTTCCAGAGGTAACAGAGAGATGGCAGTAGAGAAGGACCAGAACAATCGTGGCACGGCAAAACGACCTGGGACCTGGCTCTGATCGGACTACTGGGCATGAGTGATGCCGGAATGAGGAGGAAAGCCAGGAAGCAGCAGCCAGGTGTAGGAGGGAAGACGAGTTTCCCTGCGCTTAGAGGGCCAGGGAGCAGCCAGGTGGAAACACCGGCAGACAAAGCAGAGAGGCTGCGTCAAGCCCGAAGGAGGGGCCAGCACTAGACAGAGGTCCGGGAGGCCTCAGGAAGAGAGTCCCATGGGAGATAAGGGCCACTGTGGGCCTCACTTCACAGGTATGTACATGCTAATGTCCACAGCCCCCCAGTCTGCAGAGCGCCCAGTCTAGGAAGCTCCCTCTCTCCTTCTCTGCCCAGGTCCTAGCATACAGGGCATAGCTTTTTAGTCAAGTTGTCTTGAATTGAAACGACGCAACAGCTGTGCTGTCACCGGCCACCTTTTGTGAGAACATCTGGTGCCTAGGGGTGGGTACAGAGGCTGCACGCCTGGGGCCGTGGGCCTGAGAGCCGTGGGTCTGTGTGGGCTGCGTCTCCACGGCCACTCCGCTGGGGCTCTGGAGTCCTGGCTCTGGCAACACATTGCTAGGGTGCTTGCAACTGATGCTAACGATTTCTAGAAACCTAGAACTTGAGAACGGAGAGGAATTCAATGGGAAAGAGGCTCCACCTCCTGGTAATAATTCAAAACCAACATTTCTTCAGCGCTTTATAGTTGATAAGCTATGTCAGCTTTTAAAATCTCAGTTAGCTCCAAATCTTGACCTGGGTGGTGGTTACCTGAGTGTATGCATATATGAAAAGAAAAATCATCAAGCTTACAATTAAGTTTCAGGGCACTTTATTCTGTTACTTTTATGGCATTAAAAAACTCTAAACATTTAAGTGGATAATAAATAATATCTCATTTCATCCTCACAATCATCCTATGCAGTCAACATCTTTGTGTTCCTTGAGTGAAAGAACCTGAGGGTGGGTGACTCACTCTAGATTGAGGGCTGGTGTGTGGAATGACAGGAAAGCTGAAACTACTGGCACAGATCCCTCTGCTCTGATTTGGATGCTGGGGAAGATACCAACATTTACAGGGCTTGGAAGGGTTAAGGAGGGAGTGATCTTGGCACCAAAAGGCCTTGTAGAAGTCTTTGGGACTGAGGTCTACTGTCTTCAGCAAGCCCTTTCTCTAAGACCCAGGTTTGGCCTGGGTACAGGCTACTTTTTTGATAGAAACATGGGTTGGGCAAAATTCCAGGAGTCTCAGCATCTCACTAGTCCTCCAAGTTGCTCCCAACTGGTCTCTCAAAGCTCCCTTGGGAGTGTGTACAAAATGCATAATACAAAAGAAAATCAACCTGAGGTTGCCAAAAGCTTAGAAGTCACAGCTTATTGTTCATTCAAAAGGGAGCAGCAACCAAGCATCAGAATCTACGAGGTCCTGGGACCTCTGGAGGGGAATTGAGCTGACTATTTCCTTCTCTGCCTAGTGTGGGAAACAGACCCTTAAAGCAAACAAAGGCAACAGAATATGAGAAGCCAAAGAAGATGCAAAATACGGTGGGAACCTTGAGCAAAACGTAACCAATTCAGCCAGGGAGAGTGCAAGGTGTGTGACTTGAGCTAGGCTTCTATGTATAAATAAAAGTTTAACAGGCCGGAAGGAAGGATGTGCTTAGGCAAATACCCGGAGGTGGAAGACTAGGTGAGGCTGAGGAGGGAGGAGCTGGGGGTGAGGATGGAAAGGAAAGGAAGGGGTCGATCAAGAAGGACTCAGCAGCCTGGTTCCTCAATCTCTTGTGTCCAGGCACCCACTCAGGGAACCCCTGTGCCTCCCAGAGGCTGGAAAGGGGACGCCTAAAAGTGTTTGCCGTCCAGATGTGGCAGGCTTCTGTCCTCATCTTCGTGACAACAGCCAGCCACGCCTCGCCACAGCCCGAGGTGGGGTTGTCCAGCACTGCTGTTCGTGCGGCTTATGGCACTGCCTTTGACACTCGGGGACTTTTCTCTCAGGAGTCTGAGAAAATTCGTCCACGTCGCTTCTCTCCAAGTTTCTAGCCTCAAGATGGGATTGAATCTCTGTCGGCTATCAGCTTTCAGCGGGATGAATGGGCTCTTGGTTTCTGTATACATGTCTGGAAGGTCCAGATCCCCAAATGAGGCAACTGATCCACCTGGGGGAAATGGCATTTGACAGACACGAGGGACACAGACTGACCCACAGCTCCCTGGGGACTGGGTTGCAGACAGGCCTCCGACAACAAGAAAAAAAAAATTTAACATCTTTTTACTAAAACTAGATTCTCCTGAAACAATATTCTCCAGGCTCGAGAGACCAGGGATTTATTAAGATATCAGCAACTGACTCTGAAATAATTCACACTCATAGATGTACATTCTTTCTCATTCACTCTCCTCCATCCCCCTTCACCCAGCCAACCCCTCTCCCCGTTACTCCAAGTAGAGCAGAGAAAGCTCCAAACCTGTGATCTGAAGATCAGAGTTCAGATCTCCTCTCTGCCAAGTTTACTATGAGGTCCTAGGCAAGACTCCCTGAGGAGCCTGGCTTTCTACCTGCAAAATGGATGTGAAAGCAGCTCCTCCCAGGGTTGACTGATACATTATTCATCTCATTCACTGTATACCTCTGTGCCATACCCTGTTCTAGAGCCTGGGAGTTCAGAGGTGACTATAATCTGCCCCTACAACTCTATAGAGGTCCAGCGGAAAAAATAAGTGCCCTATTGCTTTGCAAATTACACCACCAGTGCATCTTAGTTACCAATGTTAATCTCAAAACGCTTTCAAGAGAAAACCATTATCCTGTTTAGGATTAAAGGCTTGGAGTTAAACCTGAGTCACTATCTGACAAGCACAATATCCTTAAACTTTCTAGCCTTCATTTTTTCCATCTGTTAAAAAAAAAAGGAAATGGGATTAATAACGGTTATTTTGGCTGTTTGAAGAAGTTGAAATAATGCACCCAAAGTAGTTTACAGAACTGGCTGGTACATAGTAAGGGCGGAACCAATGTTACGATGACCATGATCGTTTTAGGAGCATGAGATCTAGCACAGCTGTCCCAAACCACGTTCCTTACCGTGAAGGAGATGAGATTTCTGCCTTGGGTGCCACGTGGTGCCATGGGTCTCTCTGTTTATCCCTAGAGGCTTCCTTTCAGCGTCTTCTTCCCCAGCAGCTGCTCTGTCAGCAGTCCATATGCCGCCTCAGCTACAGAGCAGCTTTCAGCACGGGGCTGCCAGCCCCGTGGAGAACTTTGAGGAGGAGCGCAGGGGCACGCGCGCTGTCATCAATCCTCCGCCCCCTGCTCCGCCAGCCTCCGGAACCCTTGCTGGAGACGGAAGTGGGCAGGCGGGCGGCGAGCAGCTGGGCCCGGTTCCGGGCAGGGTGTGCACGTGGCAGGGAGGCCAGCTGGAAGAACAGGAGGGGACAGATGCCTTGGGGGCCCGGATTTGTTCCTGCAGGAAGAGTGCAAGGAGCTAATTGTCTCATTACCCGGGAGTGATCTCTCCATGGCCCTGCCAGGCCGTGTGGAAAGAACTTAGCCGCGTGTGCGTGTCAGGAGTCGGTGGGCGGCTCTGGGAAGCGAGCAGGAGGCCGCCCTGGGGCTGTGTTTCTCCTAAGCCTCTGCTGCAGAGCGCCTTCTAGCTCTGGGCACCCAGGCCTTGGGAATCCTGCTTCCGGAAATTCAGCCACAATCAACTAAGCTCCACGTTCCTTCAGCTTAGTTGATTGCTGGAGAGATCACCTTGTGCCTTCCTCTCCCATCACACTTGACGTGAACACACACACACACCCTACCTTATACCTTATTTAATACTTACATCTGATCGTTTACCTGAGCAGTGATGTGATTTCCACTGCATTCCTTAGCATGTGAAAGTACCTGAGTCCTGGCCTGCCTCCTGTCTACACTGGTCCTCAGCCTTTGCTGCCCTGGCTCCCCAGCTCCTAGCTTCCCGGGTACTCAGCCTCTTGTATCCGTCCGTCATGGTCGGCACCATCCTTCAGGTGCCAGTTCAAAGTCCACCTCTTCCTTAGGCTTTCATTGCATGCATCTCCTTCCCTGCTACCTCTGATTTCAGACTGCCTGGTATTAAAAGAAGGTTAATTGACCTTCAGTGCAGCACCTGAGCTTTTACAGATTTCCACCCACATGCCCTCATCTGTAATTCCTCTGTGGCAGCCCTGGGAAGCAGGCATGTGAGTGCAGTTCCCCCATCTCACAGTGTGATCAGATGGGTGATGCAGAGAATATTTACAGCCCATTCCAACATGCTGTCTGCTTTGGGGGAGCCCTTGAAACACAGGAGACTAGACCTTACTTAACTGCCACCCGTTGGAGACTTCATTCTGGAGTCCTGGCTGTGGACCACTGCTAGAATCACCCTTTTATGCTCCTGTCACCCGTTAAGAGAATTCTGGCCTCATAATCTCACGTCCAGGACACAGATGGGTTTATCACTGTGTCTTACATGCAGTGTATCTTACGTGCAGGGACTGCGTGTAAGAGAGACACAGTTATTGTATGTTTAACCAAAGAGAAGGAGCTCATTTTTTTTTCTTACTTAAATCTGTATGGCCACCTCATAGCTAGCTGTAAGATGGTGCTCACTTCTAGCCTCTCATTCACGTTCTAGGAAGAAAGGGAAAAAATAAAAAGAAGCAGCAGCAGCAAGATAGAAGGGATAGCACCTACATCAGAAAAGCAAAACTTTCCTGAAATACCCAACACACTTCCACTTACATTTCAGTGAGCAGAATAGGTCACGTGACTATCCTCAGCTGCAAGGGAGGCTGGGAAATATCCTTTGGTTAGTTGGGCTATATATTGCCATCCCAAACTGTTTTAGGGTTCTGTTAATACAAAGAAAAAGGAAGTGACACAAATATGAGATGGTGACTTAAGATGTGTCTTCCTCACTAGAGAATAGGCTCCATGAAGTCAGGGAGCATGGGTGTTTAGGCCCACAGTTGTTTTGCCAAAATCAAGTGTAGTGTCTGGCACACAGTGGGTGCTCCATAAATATGTGCTAATTGGTGAAATGGCTGAAAGAAATGACTGCTGGAGTCATCACTTTTAAAGCCTTTTAGGATCTCAATGGGCTTCCCTCATAGCTCAGTTGGTAAAGAATTCGCTTTCTATGTAGGAGACCCAGGTTTGATCCCCAGGTCAGGAAGATCCCCTGGAGAAGGAAATAGCAACCCACTCTAGTGTTCTTGCCTGGAAAATCCCATGGACAGAGGAACCTGGAGGGCTACAGTCCATGGGGTTGCAAGAGCTACTTAGCTACTTAGACTAGGATCTACATGGGCTCAAATGCCAGGCCCCAGATTGACTCCTGTCAACCCTTCCATACATATGCCGTATTTGCCAGAGTTCAAAGGCCTCTTCCCCTCCAGGTTCTGCCAGCATCCCCCTGTGTTCTCTCTCTGTTACCTGGATAACCTTTAATGCCCATTCTTAGATCACAATAAATCAAATCTGAACAGCTCATTCTGGGTTAACTGGAGTATCGGCTCTGTATTTTAGTTCGTAAGTTAATAGCCAATTACGAAGCACAAGATAAAGAGTACCCAACATTGGTACATATCATCTGTAATTACAGAGACAGGATTGGGTGTGTCTGTGCATAACAATTGGCTGCAATTCATGTTTTTAATGCAAGTATTTATTGCTAGATACATATCATTTTGAGGAAAGGGTGGTTTTATTCCTCTTAATAGAAAAGACACCTGCATAGATAAGAAATACCATCTTCATAAAATGCTGTGAATTTGATAAATGAATAGAAGCATAAAATTTAGCCAGAAGTGCTCTAGGATGAACAGGTTTTAAAATAGTTTTTAAAAATTTAATGACAAAAAAGAACAGGTCATCAAATCAGATATAGAACTCCTCTTTAAAGGATTAAGTTTTAGATGAACTGCTTTTAGGGGGGAAAAAACCCAACTTCAGTTTAATTAACCAGAACCCCCAGGAACTGGTTGTGTGATCTCTGGAATCCTGGGCCAGAGGAGGTCAGAGGTTTGATGGCCTTTGATTCCACAGTGGACTGCAGTTTCTCCGGGAACAGGGTCAGAGCTGGGAATCTTGTGCATTCTTCATAACACCTGGCAATGCTGTTAATTTGACCCATTAACAGCACTTCGTTACAATGTGTTCAGGATTTCATTGATTCCTCAGACTCTTGATCCTTTGAGATAATGGAAGTGTAGCCTCATTAGCCTTAATTTAGGAACCTCAGTTCCTTATCTGCACAATTAGAACAAAGGCAGCCATCCTGTCTGCCTTCTCAGCATGTAGGATCACATAGCGGAAGGATGTGAAAACATGGTACAGAGGGTAACACGCTGTGTCTGAGAGGAATTTTTAGGGTCAGTAATGATTGACGTGGGGAATATCTTAGTAGGACTGTTTGGCTGGGCAGTTACATTCCCAGCACTGAACATGGGGCGTCGAGTAGATATCAGTGGCCATGCAGGTTTACACTCCTTCGGGCTCAAATAAGGGCTTCGCTGGGGGCTCAGATGGTAAAGAATCTGCCTGCGATGCATAAGACCCTGGTTCGATCCCTGGGTCAGAAAGATCCCCTGGAGAAGGAAATGGCAACCCACTCCAGTATTCTTGCCTGGGAAATCCCATGGACAGAGGAGCCTGGCAGGCTATAATCCATGGGGTCACAAAGAGTCAGACACGACTGAATGACTAACACTTTCAGGCTCAAATAAGGAAGGACTGTTGTCCACTAACAGAGGCTATGTGATGATGCCCAGGAGATTGGAAATCTGAGCCCTCATCCTGCATCTGACACTCTTGCTCTGTGACTCTGAATCAGTTGTTTCCATCCTGTAAACTTAACTCTGCTCCTCTGAGCAGTGGAACTACCTGATCTCTGAGGACTCTCTCCCGGCTCTAACTTCATCATTCTGATGCTGCAGAATCCAGATGCCCAGCGTGGGGTGGCATTAGGAATGGTTCAGATGTACATGCACCCCAAGATCCTCTGAGGCCTTTTTCAACTGCCCCTGCCCTGCCTAGGTCAGTGCTTCTCCATTGATTTTTCTCTAGCATTTCACCACTACTCCTCTGATCAAGAACCTTCCAGAAGTGCTAAGACAGAGCTGAAATGCCACCTTTGTCTCAAGCTGTGTGGGAAGGTTACTGCCCATCAACAGCATGACTGAGGGGTGTTAAGGTGACATTCGGGACTTTGTCAAAGCAGTTCCAAGAGTGTGCAAACAGGTGCTGGCTTGTTAGAAATAACTTCCGTGTCTCACCACTTGGACCACATTAGTCATTCAAGTGCTGAGGAACAATATAAATTCCTGTCATCCTGGTTTATGTGACCACTAAGATTTATTCCAAGTGACAGATCATTAAGGTTTCTTCTCTTTATTTTTTTTCTTGGATTCACTGAAAACTCATATTTCTGCTGCATGTTATAGACTGTTAACAGCTCTGCTTTTGGTCAGGGAGACAGCAATAAATCTGACTCTAATAAACTGACAAAAGATAGCTATCCCGGAGACAGTCTGAGCCCTATTCTTCATCTCCTTTTATAAAGTGCATTTGTATTGAGGCCTCTTCCACATAAAAGCCATACTTGCCATCTAAATATTCACCTCCCCCAATAGATGTTTTGCTGTCCTAAAGCTGACCACATAATCACAGATTAAGAGTCAGAGGGGGGCTTCCATGGTGGCTCAGGTGGTGGAGAATCCACCTTCAGTGCAGGAGACCCAGGTTCTATCTCTGGGTTGAGAAGATCCCCTGGAGAAGGAAATGGCTACACACCCCAGTATTCTTGCCTGAGAATCCCATGGACAGAGGAGCCTGGTGGGCCGCAGTCCCTGGGGTCACAAAGAGTTGGACGGGACTGAGCATGGAACACACACACACACAGTCAGAGGCCTAATAGCAGCTGACGGGGGTAGGGAAGGATCTGAACCTCTGCTGGGGACATCTTAGTGTCTTCACTTTTCCCTAGAAAAATCGAGTTCGCAGCAAACAGCTGTCCACCCTCTGGAGCCTGACCTCCGTCTCTGCTGTTCTCTGAGCCATGCCGTGCTGGACCCCCGGAATCCTTCCTGCGCGCTCCAGGTGCAGGCTTAAGTGAGAGCATTCTCTGAAGTTTCCTGGGAAGCCTTAACCTGCTGCAGACTGCGTGGCCACAGGGAGGTCTGAAAACTGGCTGGTACTGGAGTGCTCACCACTTTGTCTTTGTCCACCCCCTGTCCAGTTGTGAGTGCCCAGAAGGCAGTTCTTCCATAGAGCAGGCATTTAGAATGATTGAGTGGACTTCAGAGCAATCTGTGGGGGCTGATGTTCTGGCCAAACTCTACAGAGCGTCCCTCTGGCGGCGCTGGGAAGGATCAGGCCTCGAATCCTAGCCTGCCTTCCAGAAGCA